GGGTGATGCTGGATATCTTCCTCCATGATGCCACAGAGGGAAACTGGAGAAGCCGCATGAATTGACATAATCCTAAGGAAGGTAGAAGGAATTCAGAGGAAGTAGTATGGTACAGTGAAAAATGCCTGACTTTGGTCAAGTCAATTAACCTGTCTGAGCTTCAATCTTTCTATCATGAAATATGGGTGCCTGATTTTCATACATTGTGAGAGTACACTTCGGTTTTTAAACTGTTAGTCATGTAGTCATCGTCCATCATTTGTGATCGAGCCTGGCAGGAGTCTAGGAACTGCTTTCTATGCCATGGTCCAGCAGGCACCACTGGGACTATTTGCCTTGTCCTCTTTGAGCTCAGAGACCGACCTGTGCTCTCATAGTGCTGCCTTGGGAAGGGGCTGGAAGCAGAGCTCAGAGTGCCCCCATCGCTGGCCTCCCCCCTTGCTCACCCAGCTGCTTAGCCCCAGGCAGTCTAAGCCATCAAGGTCCCCTGCTGGCTGGGTAGTGGGGAACATGTGGAACAGGGGAAATAGGGGAAAAGAGCACAGAAGCACCGCAGATGTGTGTGACCACATCAGGAACAGGAGGAAGGCAAGCAGATGGGTGAGGAAGCTGGGTAGAAGGCTAGATTAGCCTGAGGCCAAGGACTCGGGAAACATTTCCCTTTCCCTACAATAACCAAACATATTAGGAGTTTGGGGGATGAAGCAGCAGGCTGTTCCCCCTTACCTTGCTCGGTAGGGAGGTGATCCCTAAGACCTGGGTAACAGGGGAAAGGGCCCCCCATTGGGCTGGGGCTCTTTCTTTCTCTTCTTCACCAATACAGACTTCAGCTAAGCATCAGGACTGAGCCAAGGCTAGACTGGGCTAGGCTGGGGCCGTGAGGGTCCCACCTGTTCCCACCCTGGTGCCTCCCTCGGCCCTCCTTCCTTGCAACCTCTTCCAGAGCTGCCACAGCTGGAACCATTCTCCAAGCCGCCTTTCATCCCTCATGCTCCCCCACCCCAGTGGCCCCTGTAATTGTGGTCTTGGGCTGTGGCTGCGGGGGTTGGGGCTGGGCTAAGGGCCAGGGCAGGGGCAGGGCCAGGGCCAGGGCCAGGGCCAGGGCGGGTTCTGGAGACTGCTGATAGGGCTTGGCCATAGTGTGGGTCATATGGGGCTGAGGACCTAGCTGCGGACACTTTCTCTGGGCCTTATCCATATACATGCCCAGGCTCTGTGCATACCTATACCCTCCACTCTCTGGACTAAGGAGAAGTGCCTCAGACTTGGGCACTCCTAGACCCTCATGACATCAAGCCAGAACTATGCTTGAGTGCAAGCCTTGGGTATCATTATTTGCCTTCTGGGTTTTCAAAGAATAGGTCTTTTCTGTCTCCATTACACCTCTATGTTTTATGAAAAGTTGAGTGTGGGAGCAAAGAGATCCTCCTCCCTTGTTAGGAGTTGGAAGGAAAAATATCAGCTGTTTAACTAAATTAGCCACATTGCTCAAAGGTGGGCCCTACCAAAATCACTTGGGATATTGGTTAGAAATGCAGAATCCCAGGCCTTCTCCCCGGAAAGGATGATTCAGCTGTGTGGGGCCTGGAATCACTATTTCCCACAATGGCTTCCTCCAGGGAATACATATGATGCCTTAAGCGTGGGAATTGCTAGTGTGAGCACTAGACAGGGAGCAAGGAGGTCTGCGACTGGATTATGAACCCCTCTCTGTGTCATATTTGGCCTGTTCTGAATACTTTCTAGGCCTCAGTTTTCCCAACAGCCAATGAGAACATGGCTCTTCGGCTTGCTGGTGCCCTTTCTCATTCTGGGCTCTTGCCTCTGTCCTATGCGGAGTCTGGTCTTACCTTGTCCCTACCCATGCCCTTCCCTACTCATGTCCCTTCCTCTGCAGCATGTTGGGGAAGAGTAGGGAGGGCAGGGGGCAGCTGGGGTCAAACAAGGCTCTGGCTGAGGCAGTCTGCTTCCTGCCCCCGGCTGTTTTCCGGCTGTCCAGCCAGACTACTCTCCCCCACTGCCCCACCCCCACCCCCAGCAGCCTCAAGCCCTTAATTCCTGACAGCTGCGGTAGCTGCCGGCCGAGATGGGGGAAAGGAGGGGGAAGATGCCGTCAGCCTGCTGTTGTTCAGGCTGCCCCCACCACCTGACAGTCTGGGGACAAGGAAGGCCCCACCCCTCTCCTCCAATTCCCCAGGGATGGGCAATTCCAGGAATGGGCCCCTTTTGTCTCTGAGCCCAGAGGCTCCATTACAGTTCTGTCCCTAAGCCAGAAGGGGCTCTCTTCAGAGAAAGGGGGCCCTGGGGTGGGAGGGATGTGTGGGTGTGGAGAGGGAGGCTTGTGCCCATTTTACAGAGGAGGATGCTGAGGCCACATTAAGAGTAGGATTCACTGTCAGGGCCAGGTTAGAACTAGACACAGAAGGTGAGCATTTTCTTTCTACCCTTTGACTCTCAGGCCTTGGCCTGGACCTAGCTTACTTGCCCCACATTGAGGAGGGGCCCAGTGTTTACCTGGGATGTGTGGACAGGAAAGGATCCCAGAAAGGAGTAGGCCTGAGCTAGGAGGCCAGTGTTGGGGCACTCCTAGAGGACCATGTGCAGGTGGGGCCGGGGTAAGACTCAGAGCATCCTCAGGCACAAGCAAGCATCCCTGGCTGTACTGGGAGTCAGGAAAACTGGATTTGATTACAGTTCTTTCACTAATTTGCTGTGTGACTTTAAGAAAGATATAACCCTCTCTGAGCCTCAGGGAGAGTTTCTTGTTAAATAAAAGGGGGTTCATTAAGATGACCTCTTCCAGGATTAAAAGGTTCTCTAATCCCCCTCCCAGGGTGTACCACACCAAGGTGCTCCAATTCCAAACAAGCATTTACTAGAGGCCTGAGGTGATGCTTTTGCCTTCATTGGCTCACTGACCAGATGAGGTGGACCTCGTTAACCTCATTTCACACAGGGCACAGGGTGTCTCAATGAGCAGGAGGCACCTGTTTAAGGTCACTTAGCAAAAGAAAGAGCCAGAGGCTACCAAACCCCTTTGCAGGACCCCGACCCTGCCTTACATGCTAGGCAGACCGAGAGGCAGTACCTCCTCAGGTGGAGGAGGCCAGCAGAGGGGCCAGCCCTCCCCAGAGCCCCTGCAGGTGTGTGTGTTGGAGTGGGGTTGGGTGGGGGCACTCCCCGGCAGCTGCGTCTCTACCAGGCACACACACTTGCAGTAACGCCTTCCCCACACAAACCTGCGCCCTGTGCACATGCATCTCCCTGAGCACACGCCCACGGACCCCAGCACCTCTCCTTCTCCGCCCTCAGTACAGTGGCTCCCACCCCCAGTCGCGAGAGGACGGACGCGGTGGCCTTGGGACGTATACGCGCCTCCACACCCCTAGTCGTGACGTCACGTGGGGTAGAGCCCTGAGACACTAAATGGGGGTTGGGGGGGAGGAAAGGGGAGGCGGCAGAGTTCCCTGAGCTGGGACAGTCAGTCACTTTCCAGGCGGTGGGACCCGGCACAGACAGTGCCGCGCCTCCCCAACCCCCCCCACCCCGTCCGCCTCGCACGCCCTCGGAAGCGCAGGCTCCCTGGCACCTCGGCCTCGCGTCCCCAGCCCGCTGCACCTCCGGGCCCCCCTTATCCTCGAGAGGCACAGGGAGTTGTCGAAGGGGGGCCTCGGGAAATTCCCCGGACCCCTGTGCCAGGAGGTGCCCGGTTCGCCCGCTCTCACCACCCCCCCCCGAGGGCGGTGCCCGGGGGCGCTGCCCCATGGAGCTGGGAGGCGGGCGCCGTCTGCTTTGGGAGACCTGACCCGAGTTGGAGCCGTGTGTGGCAGCGCCCCTACCCCAGCCGATCATGCGCCGCCGCCCCTGGCTCGCCAGTCCTACCGGGCTGTGAGCCCCCCACTTCCAGCCTGTCACGGCCTGTGCGCCATGGGCAGCGCCCACCCTCACCCCTGGCTGCGGCTCCGACCCCGGCCCCAGCCGCGGCCGGCGCTCTGGGCGCTCCTGTTCTTCCTACTACTGCTGGCTGCTGCCGTGCCCAGGTGAGCCTTCACCTCATGCTCCGCCTCCTGGAGAGCTGAGACCCTGGGGGGTGGAAGGGGCTTGTGGTGCTCCTGCCTGGGCAAAAGACCCTGGAAAGAGGGAGGGACAGGGTCCCAGGGAAGTACTGGTTCCAAACGAAAGACAGTGAGCGCCCTCACAGGAGTGAGTTGGACTGGTGACAGGATATACGCAGTCTAGGGAGTCAGGGCAGTGCCCAGTAGAGTGATGGCAACAAGGGGAGCTGTATGTGGGAGGAACAAGTGCCAACTTAGGGTCTTTGCCACGCTGGGGGAATGCACTCTCAACCCAGGAGTAAGCTCAAGTTGCCTGGCTCCACCTTGCAGGTTGCCCCCTGGAAGGGGCAGGAGTTGGGGGGCTTGAAGCAGGTAGCCCAGGAGGGGTTAGTGAGAGACTGGAAGGGCTCTGAGTATGTGTGTGCGTTTGTGTGTTTGTAAGATCAAGTAAGCCCTTTATCCCAGCAAGATGTGTAAGTAAACAGCAGTTTATATATTTGTGTGTATGTGACTATGAGAGTTCATGGGTCAATGAATGTTAAGATGAACTCATGTGCTAATATGAGTGTCTTTGTGTGTGCCTGTAACTATGACCAATGCAGTGTGCCTGTGAATAAGTGTTTCTGGGTCTGTATGTCCACCACAATGTGTGCAGATGTGTGTCTGCATGAATATGACCATCTGAAATGTCTTTGGGACTTGGCTCTTGGGGGACCCCTGTGTACACGAGCATCTGTGCCTGGATATGTACTTATGAAATGCTGTGTGTTTGGGCACAGCAGATGTGTGTGCATTTACATGTTTACCTGTGTGGGTGTGCCATTGAGTGGGTTGTTTTGGAGGGACAAAAGTAAGGAGGTCAAGGAAAAAAGAATATTTAAGAATGCAGATGGGCCCAACCTTCAGAAGTGGGGGTTGGAACAGAGTGATTACGGCCTTGGGACAGAGTGTGTTGTTAGATGGGGCCCTCCTGGCCCCCCAAAACACCCACCCCACCCCACATGCCTGCAGGTCAGCACCCAACGATATCCTGGGCCTCCGCCTCCCCCCGGAGCCTGTGCTGAACGCCAACACAGTGTGCCTGACATTGCCAGGCCTGAGCCGGCGGCAGATGGAGGTGTGTGTGCGTCACCCTGATGTGGCTGCCTCAGCCATCCAGGGCATCCAGATTGCCATCCATGAGTGCCAACACCAGTTCCGGGACCAGCGGTGGAACTGCTCTAGTCTTGAGACTCGAAACAAGATCCCATATGAGAGTCCCATCTTCAGCAGAGGTAGCTGCCCCTCACTCTTGCCCCTCTGTCTCCCTACCTGCCCCATCCCAAACCTCTACCCCCCAATCTAGCCATCCCTAATGAACACCCTCAAGCTGGTAACACCCTCTCCCATGTGTGCATCTGTAAGCCCTGCTGCTCTTCTGTCTCTTTCTGATCTCAGAAAGGTCATGGGAACATAAAAATGGGGCAGGTGTGGCTCCAGGCTGGGCTGTGTGGACTAAGGGTGGCAGATCCCATGCCTAAAAACTGGACTTCTGGGTCACTCTGCTCTATCACTGACACCACATATCTCCAGGCCTAGGAAATAACTATATCTGTTACCTGCCTCTACTTAGTAAACTACACTTAGGATGGAGATCCTGTGAGGAAGAACCCAGAATCAGCCCAAGAAATGCTTGGAAACTTTTCTGCCAATGGTGCAGGTGGGGGAAGCCTGGGCAGGCAAAATGTCTTTGCTTCTGCAGAAGCTATTACTGGTGGGGTACACCACCAGCCTCTGTGTCATCCTCTGCCACTCCTGAAAAACTCTGAATCAGAGACACTCATTGTGTGGGCCTGTGCATGGTGGCTCCCATCCCATAGGCCTGACAGCTCTGTGATCTCCATTTCCCTCACGGCTCAGAGAAGTTGAAGCTCACTTCCTATCCTCTCTACAGAATTCTGGGTGACCCAGGGCCTACCCTGACAATCCCTGGAGTGGCTTGGGCTGAAAATGGCAGGATGTTCCATCACTCACTTCCACTTACAACCACCTCCTGGCCTGCTTGGTATCTTAGGCCTTGACTCAGGTCTTCAGGAAAGATGGGGGCCCTACATGGATAGACCTAGCTGGGTATCTATGTGTTCTCCCAGCTGCTTGAATGGGATGGGGACCTCATGGCCCTGGTTCCTTGGGACTTGTCCAATTCTCAGTTGGCAGGCAGCAGGTGGGGTACCCCTGTACCCTGTAGCCTTGGGTCCCCGGGCTTCTGGAGGAATCGAGGTCTAATGTACCTCAACTTTGGAAAGTACTTAGAAGGCCAGAGCCTTTCCCTTTCACCAGGACCCCGGTTGCATTCTGTGGGCCCCCAAATCTGGGGCCACCCCAGCCTCCCCCAAGCCAGCCACAGGCCGCCTGCCCCGCCTCCGCGCGCTCCTTTCTCCCTCCCCCGCGTGCCCGGGGCGCTGTTTCTACCCGGGCCGAGCCCAGCCCGACGCGTGTGGCGGCATGCAGCCGCGAACTAATCCCCGCGGGCCGCGGCAGACGGCTCCTGGCCCCAGCCGCGCTGCTCACAGAGAGGACGCCCCCACCCTGTCCCGCGCTCCCGCCCTGCGCGTCCTGCGGCAATCCGCACCTCTTCAGCGGTACAGGAGCGGCTGCCGGACCCGGCCACCCGCCTGCCCCATCCGGACCGCAAGACCCTCCCGTCCCCTCCCTGGCGCGCGCTGACACAAAGTGACAGGCCTCGGCATCATTCAAGCCGCGGTCGAAACCTGCCAGCGCTCACCGCTGCCGCGCACTCGCTCCAACCCTTCGGGTTTCTAGGTCACCCACGGTCCCGACAGCCCCGTTTCCCTCTGAGGCCCTCGGGTCCCCGGAGAGAACTCTTGCAGCTCTTGCCTTGGTTTCTTCTCACTGGGGACTTGGATAGGCGCTGAGGTTCTCATCCTTGCCGCTTGGAGTTAGGCAAGGCAAGGCAAGCTTTTTATCTCTCCTCAGTCTCGGTGTCCCCTCTGGTCCTCCTGTTCCCTCTGGACTGAGTGAACCCAGGCGGCCTAATTTGCTCACCTTGTCAGGCCTGTGTGGCCAGCTGAAGGACCTGGGGTCTTTGAAGCTTGGGGGCAAGTTTGGAGCGGTGCAACCCCGCAGGGTTGGCGGGGTGCCAGGCACTCCTGGGTTCACCTGCAGTTTAATAAGTGGGAGGTGAGCTGGGGGGACGAGGTTAGGAGTGGAGAGGGGAGACTTGCTGAGGCTAGCCAGGGCAGGGAGGTACATCGGCGCCGCACCGGGAGGGTTGGGACAGCGGCTCCTGGGCTCTGGCAATAGGTTGCTCCTTCCTCGGCCTCAGAACACCACCCTACCTCTGTGGCTTCTGCTCCTCCTAACCCTACTGAGACATCTCACACCTCTTCTACCTCACCCTCCTGAGAGGAGACTCTGGGCTTCTGGAAAGAAATCTGCTACTCCCCTTCCCCACTGGCTACCACTGCACTTCTCTCCCACACCGTATCCTGGTTCACCCTCCTCCAGGGTTATTTTCTGGTCCCTCTTGGCCTATCTCCTGGGCAACTAGCCAAATCTGAGTCCCACAAGGCTACTCTTGGTACAAGAGTCTCCCCTTTTTTCAAACTATAGATTGTCCTTTGTGGGGCTTCAGTTTCCCCCAAGTGGAATATCAGGGTGTTGACTCTTTTTCTGACCCAGGTTACTAATGGGGTTCTCGTAAAAGAGGATTCTGCCACATATAAATTTCAGAGACTATTGGGGGTGGGGGAGGTAGTCTCTTGGGCCTTCCTTAATGTCACATAATTGTCCTGATATCTTCCTTGAGATGGGTTGGGCTGGAAGGATGCAGGTCTGATAAATGAGGGAGGGGTAAGTGCTTGAGCATTTGGAGTGGACAAGCCTGGGAAAGGGAGGCATATAATGGGGCTTTACCTAGCCAAGCAGAGGACTGCTGGTGGGAGGAAGGGATGGTGTCTCCCAGGGGCTAGAGAGGGTCAGAAAAAGCTGTGGGAGGTCCCAAAGCCCTTGCTGGCTGCTTTGCCCACAGCTCAGGGGCAGCAATGATCCAAGTGCCAATAGCACTGTTATCCCAGCTTTTTGTACTAAGGACCCAGATTGTTTGTACCTGGGTTAGGTGCTAGGTAGAACATGTTAGAGGGGAGCCCTTCACTGTGCGAAAAGAGAAAGGCTTCCATCTGTCTTGGGATGTGGGGACAAGAGGGAAATTTGAGGAAGGAACTACTGGGGGCTGGGCTCAGGCCAGTGAAAGGGACATGAGAGGTCAGGGAGAGGCTTGAGAGAGGAGTGAAGTTGATTCAAAAAGTGGGCCTGTCCCAAGGATCTCCCACACAACATAGGCACTGCTTCCCTAAGTCTCAAACCCATTTGGAATGGATGGAAAGGGGGACTGGGAGGCCTTATGGCCTACAGCTGGGCTTCTAGCCCAGGGGAAATCAGCAGTTCAAATGTCCAGATCTGCTCTCCACAGCCCTGACTCATTCTTCTCCCACCTACCTTTTATATTCACTTTCAGGGAATCTTGGTTTTATGCCTAGGCCTCCAGGGCTTGGAGTGGTTATCAGATGGGGAAACTGAGGCACAGGGGCTCATATCCCAGGATCACCTAGGGTCCTATTTTTTAAATGTCACTCAATAAATTAGCCCATAAATATCAAGCACCTGTTATGTGTTGGGCACTGTAGCACTTCATTTATGCTTTAGGATCCTCAAACGGTACCCATTCAGGAGGTTGTATTATTTGTATTATTATCCTTATTTTAGAAACGAAGCTAAGAGAGGTTGGATAATTTGCCATTAGTCACACAGCTTAAAAGTGAGCCCTCAAGCCAGGACTTGAATGCAGGCCAGCTACTTTATAGCTTGCACCCAATTCCCTGTTATACCATCGCCCAAGCCGCAAGGGCGGTGTGAACTCCCACCGTGTACCATAGGGGCGTTCTCAAAGAAACAATACTGACACACACACACACACACACACAACCCTACCCCCATTTTTTCAAGCGTGTGGCTCCATTCAATGTCACACCTAAGTGTTCCCACATGCACACTAATATCTCTCTCTCTCTCCATCCAGGCACACAAGCATGCACAGAATATTTGCATGGAAGGAATGGAGACCAGACCTCTTTCCTTTACTCTCTCTTTGACTTGAATGGGCAGGGCTCAAGCTTCTCAAACTCCTCCTAGTTCCCACTGGCTCCTAAATTGTCTCTCCTCCCCTGCCCTCCAAACCTCCTCCCCCAGCCCCTTCCTGGCTGTTTGGCTGTGGCCTGTAACAGCAGCTGACTCCACTTAGATGCTGGCAGTCCCTGTCCCAGATCAAAGGCAGGGCGGCTAATTGTGCGTCTTAACGAGGGCCCCCCCTTCTGCTCTGGGCAGCCCAGCTGGCCATGGCCCCACCCCTCTCCCTCTCCAGCTGGCCAGATGGCACAGTGCCTGCGTCTGCCCCAGACAGTCGGGGCCAGGACTGAAACTGGGGCCCTGAACAGGAGCTGGGGGCAGACCCAGTGGGATGGACTTCTCTGAGGCCTGGATGCTTGGAGCAGAGGGTGGCCACACAGGCTGTGCCTGATCACCTCTACACGTGGCTGTGACAGCTGTCAGAGGCCATGGGGTGGTGTAGGGGAATATGTCCTTAGCTGCATGAGGTAGGAGTATTTTCTGCAGGCTGTGGGCTACATTTCTCCAGATTCCTCTAGGTCCACACTTGAATGTGAAAGCCTGGAGGATAGTAGTTGGCCCTGCACAACCACCATCTGCACCAGACCCTTGTTCTTTTCTGTTGCCATGTATAGGCAAGGCCATAGAATCTTGGGCTGCCTGAGTTCCTTACTCTGCAGTAGGACTCCCTTAGAGCAGAAAGTTGTCAGGCCTGAGAGCTGGGAGAGCTGGGTCTGGGTCCAGCTTCATAATCCCTCTGACCTTGGGCTTTCCCCCTTTGCAAAATGTGTGTGCGTGTGTGTGTGTTTGGTGGTGGTGGTGTGTGGGGTGGCGGTGATTTCTGAGGCTCAGGTTCCTCCGACAGTCTGAGTATTTCCATGTGTCCTAGGAGCAGGCTGATGATTCCTCCAGCATAAAAGAAGTGCTTAGAGTTCCATGGGGGAAAAAGCAAGGGATAAATATAGGGTGTTCTTCCCAGGTACTTGGGTCCACCCTCATTCCCTTGGGCCCCATTTCCCCAAAGCAGTTTCCACTCCTCTGCAGCTCCTGCTAATTCCTAGTATCCTCAGTGAAAGCTCCAGCCCAATCCCTGTTCCCTCCTGTCTGTTCATAGCTGGGTTCCTATGAAAAAAAAGATACTGAGATTCCATGACCTGGAAAAAGAATACAGAGAGGAAGAGTTTGCTTTCATGGGCCTCTGGTGGCCCAAATGATCTATTCTAGGATGGATCATGAGCTTCTGGGCTCTGTCTCTGATCATGAAACAAAAAACAATGGCTTGAAACATAGCAGAAGTGAATGAAGTCTGACAGCAGGAAGAACTTAATAACTAAAGTCCATGTAGTACTTACTATGAGTGAGGCACTATTCTAAGCACTTTAAATCTACTACCTTGTCTGGGCATGGTAGCTCATGGCCTGTAATCCTAGCTTTGGGAGGCAGGGTAGGAGATTCCCCTGAGGGTAGAAGTTGGTGACCAACCTGAGCAACATAGTGAGACTCTTTTGAAAGAAAGAAAGAAAGAAAAAGAAAAGAAAAAAGAAAAATTAGCTAGGAGTGGTGGTACCTTGTCTGTAGTCCCAATTACTGGGGAGGCTGAGGCAGGAGGACTGTGGGAACCCAGAAGGTGGAGGTGTGGTGAGCTATGATGATGCCATGGCTCTCTTCCTAGGGTGACAGAGTGAGACCCTTATCTTAAAAAGTTTTTTTGTTTGTTTTTTATTAAGTCATTTATTCTTGGAACACTGAGGCAGAGGTAGATAACCACATTATTTTGCAGATGAGGAAACAGGCATAGGGAGGTTAAGTCACTTGCTCAAGGTCACATAGCTATTAACAGCCAGTAAGTAGAAGAGCCAAAATTTGAACCTAGGCACTCTGGCTTCAGTGATATACTTCTTAACTACTAAATAGCTTGTCTAATTTTTTTCTTTTGGCTTGGGCAGGGAGGGGAGGACAGGGCTCTGTGATGCAGGGAGGTAAGGATTAGGAGTAGGATTGGGGCTCAGCACCCATAGCACAGTGGTTGCCACGCCAGCCACATACACTGAGGGTGGCAGGTTTGAACCCTGCCCAGGCTAGCTAAAGAACAATGACAACTGCAACAAAAGATAGCTGGGTGCAGTGATGGGCACCTGTAGTCCCAGCTACTTGGGAGGCTGAGGCAAGAGAATTGCTTAAGCCCAAGAGTTGGAGGTTGCTGTGAGCTGTGACGCTGCAGCACTCTAACAAGGGGGACATAGTGAGACTCTGTCTCAACAACAACAACAGAAAAAGGAGTAGGATTGGGCTAGGACCTCTGTCCAGTCCTGGTTGGCTCTTTGGGGTCTATGAAACTTCTGAGAAAACGTCCTTCTAGTCTTTTCAATTTTTAAATTTTACTTATTTTTAAATTTCAGATTAATATGAGGGTACCAACCATTAGATGATATAATTTGCACTTGAAAGGTTAAAGTCAGAGTTGTAGCTATGTCCTGCATCCAGGTCTTTCCAGCCTTGATGGTGGAAGGACACAGAGGTTTTGTTTCATCTGACTCTCTGCTTCCTCCAAGGCCATCCTGGCCAGATTTTGGCCTTCTCCCACAGGGGCCCATGGCAGGGTGGATTCTCTTCCCTGTGTGGGAGATATTCTTGCTCCCTTCTTTTTTCATTGCCTGCTCTCTCTCTGGGGTCCAGAGGCTGGTCAGAGACTTACCAGAACTTTCTTCTAGGTTAGTCCTTTCTCAGACACAGGATAAGCAAGAGGTAGGTTGTAGGTCCAAGAACTGGACCCTCCTCTACAAGTTGTCTTCTGCCTGCCATAGATCATTCCTAGAAGATGGCTCAGGCCAGCATGCCTAGTAAGACGGCAGTGTGGACTAGTCAGTGGCCAGGCCAGCTCAGCCACAGTACTTGAAAGTGGCTGAGTTAGGTGGGTCTTTGTGCCTCCTGAGCATCTAGTGGAAGGTGTCTGCCTCAGCCTGCCTGTCCCTCTCAATGTCCAACACTACTGTATGCCAGACCCTGTGTAGGGTTCTGGTCTTACCTCTAACATCCCTAAAACATTCCTTTAAGCCGACAGATAGACCACAGGCAAGGAGACTGGGTAGTGCCCATTTCTGAGCAGCCTTCCAGGATGTCCTGCAGACAAGGAAGGGGGAGCTCTGCTGATTCATATCTCTGCCATTGGTGGGGGTTTCTGTGCTGGACCTAAGGTGGGCAAAGACCAGGCAGACAATCTTGGGGCAGGAGGTGTTAAGAGCCAAGATCTCCTCTTCTTTCCCTTCCTGCTCATCGTCATCCCAAATCCTAGGAGACATCACTGCCACTGGCAAGTTATTCTTTAGGTTAAATTTTGCCTTCTTTCTGCAGGCTTATTTTAAAATTGCAAATAGCACCAAAGGAGGTAATAGATGAAGTCTCCAATCTTAAAAAAGCATGTATTCACCAGGTACTTTCTGCCCCACAGGAGAGGATGCAAACACAAATTCTGAGCCTACTAAAGGTGATGTTAATGAAAAGTGCAAAAAGAAAAGGGCTATCAACCTGCCTCCCTAGACCTAGCTTCTGGCATGGTTTCTGGTCTTCTTTGGGTCTGTACTCTTGTACCAGACTCTCCCCAACTCTGGGCCGCAGTTTATCCCTGGCATGACAAGAAGGTTGGGCAGGGTGGGCAGAGAAATGGTCTGTCGAGGCTCCTTCAGAGTCAATGCTTTCTGGGTCTCTAACCGCAGGATTCCGAGAGAGCGCTTTCGCCTACGCCATTGCAGCAGCTGGTGTGGTGCACGCTGTGTCCAACGCGTGTGCCCTCGGCAAATTGCAGGCGTGCGGCTGCGATGCATCACGGCGCGGGGACGAGGAGGCCTTTCGTCGGAAACTGCACCGCCTGCAGTTGGATGCGCTGCAGCGCGGTAAAGGTCTGAGCCACGGCGTCCCAGAGCACCCAGCCCTGCCCCCAGCCAGTCCCGGTCTGCAGGACTCCTGGGAGTGGGGCGGCTGCAGCCCCGACGTGGGCTTTGGGGAGCGCTTCTCTAAGGACTTTCTAGACTCCCGGGAGCCTCACAAAGACATCCACGCACGCATGAGGCTTCACAACAACCGAGTCGGGAGGCAGGTAAGAGCCCCGCCCCCTAGGCCGCTTAAAGCCCGGCCTGTGGCTCGCCCTCCCCCAAGCTTACCTCTCTTCTGGGGACTGTTCCCCCACCTCTGCAGCCTTCTAATTCAGTCAGCAAACATTTATGAGTACTTACTGTACATCAGGTCCTAGGCCAGGGGGAAGGGATGAAATAGTCCGCCCAGCAACCTGCTCCTCCCACTTCCACCAAGTAAGGGTGTCACCAGAGAAAGTGGCATTTAGCACCTTAGGACTCTAGGTCTGGCGCTGCCACCTATTTCCTCTAGAGTGAGGAGGTTGAATAGATCACCCATTCTCAATTCTGATTTTCCATAATTGGGTGATCTCTACCAGCCTTTCAGGACAGTCTAGAATGAGAGATTCCTGTAGTGAGGGGAGCTAAGTGAGGGTTCTCAGGACTACTGTGAGAATGTGTTACTATTGCCTTCTTTGTCCCTTGCCCTCAAATGCTTATGTCACCTCAAAGGTCATTCATTAAAAATAAGTTAAAGAAATAAACAGAAGAAGAAAGTAATGATAGCCTGCATTTATTGAGTGCTTACTATGTGTTAGGCACTGTCCCGAGCAGTTTCCTACATATGAACCTATTCAATCCTTACAACTACCTATGAGGTGGGGACTATTACTAACCTTAGGTTTAAGTGAGGAAAGTGAGGAGCAGATTGACCAAGAAGCTTGCCCAAGCTGATGCAATTAGTGAGAAAGTGGTAGAGGCAGGATTCATTTGCAGGTAGTTGAGGTCTGAGCCTGTGCTCTTTTGTTCTACATTGTCAGCCTACTCTCTGATGCCCCGTTGGCCCTCATGGTAGCTCAGCACCTTCCTTTTCTGGCCATCCATTCTCATCCCTTCTCTTGACCCTCCCCAGCCAGCTTAGGTCTTGTTACTGGCTTCCTGTCACTCCTCTTTCTCTTGGCCTCTTAGCCCATGACGATTTCATCTTCCTCCACAAAGACTCTAAGCTGATTTAACAATTCCCATCTTGATGTAGAGGCAGGGTAAACCGAGGCACACTGGCCCTCACATTATGTCCAGCTCCCACACAGCCTGCCCTGTCCATGCAGCTCTGTTCCCAAGCTTTGCCCCCATCCTAGCTCATACCATTGTGCCTCCTCCTCCTCTCCTTCCTCCTCCTCTAGTTAAACTGGCTAATTAATGGCTGCTGCCTGTGGGAAGCAGATGTTCTGGAGCTGTTGGCTTAGGGAGGCATTGGGCTGGTTCCCACATGGTCCTGTCACCACAGGCTGCACATATAAGCTGCAGAGTCCTTTAAGACATGGAGGGCAGGGTCCCCCTCTGGGGGCCCTATTGCTCTCCTTGTCTGAGGGTGTGATTTTGGAGTGAAGTGGGTGAAAGGAGGATGTGGCCAACTTCCTCCCAGGTCTCTGGTGAGGATAATGCCAAGGTGGTGGGGGTTTTTTGTTGTTGTTTGTTTAGCAGGCCTGGGTTCAGAGCATGTGGCCAGCGCCCTAACCACTGAACTACAGGCACCCTCCAAGGTGTTCTTTGGGAGGAACAGTTTCAGGCTGACTGGGGGTGGGTAGGCTATGTCCGCATAATCAACTACCTTGGAGGCCTGGGGATCCTTTCCACTTTCACTGGGCTCTCTCTGGCTTCTATTATGGATTCAGGTAGAACTTTGGCTCCTGTTGGTGCTCACTTCCTAGGAGGTACCCCGACATTTAGTATAGGGCAGAGAATTAAGCTCCAGCCAGTATTTGGTGGTGGTGGTGGGGGACAGTCTATTCAGCTCCTGTGCACTCTCCTTTGACTCCCCACAAAAGATAGGCAGGACCAGAGGTTGGGAAGAGTGTAGACCCAGGCCTTCTTAGACTCACAGCATATCCCACTCACAGCTTGGAATAAGGCCAGAGGCTTTGGGGCTGGGATGTAGTGGGCCAGCACCTGCCTGCTCCTGGACCCTACCCCAGGGATGGAAGGAGAGGGAATTTCCCTGACGATGTGGGATCTCCCCTCAGGAAGCAAGAGCTCCAGCCCCAAGGGCCCCCTGCAGCTGCGGAGGAAAGCTGGCAGGAGTGGAGGGGCGCCGGAAGGAGGGAATTCCCCCAGGGCCTGGCCTGGTGGGAGGCGGGTGGGAGAGGCAGAAGAGCAGGTACAGTTCTGACTGCGTGGCTCTGGGTTCCCTGTTTCACGATGGGAGTAGGTTCAGCGTTGGTAGTGGGGCTGGCCCTCATAGTGCCTCCCTCCGCAGGCAGTGATGGAGAACATGCGGCGGAAGTGCAAGTGCCATGGCACGTCAGGCAGCTGCCAGCTCAAGACATGCTGGCAGGTAACGCCAGAGTTCCGCGCGGTGGGGGCGCTGCTGCGCAGCCGCTTCCACCGCGCCACGCTCATCCGGCCGCACAACCGCAACGGCGGCCAGCTGGAGCCCGGCCCCGCGGGGGCACCCTCGCCAGCCCCGGGCGCTCCCGGGCAGCGCCGCCGGGCCAGCCCCGCTGACCTGGTCTACTTTGAGAAGTCGCCCGACTTCTGCGAGCGCGAGCCGCGCCTAGACTCCGCAGGCACCGTAGGCCGCCTGTGCAACAAGAGCAGCACCGGCCCGGATGGCTGTGGCAACATGTGCTGTGGCCGTGGCCACAACATCCTGCGCCAAACGCGCAGCGAACGCTGTCATTGTCGCTTCCACTGGTGCTGCTTCGTGGTCTGCGAAGAGTGCCGCATCACCGAGTGGGTCAGCGTCTGCAAGTGAGCGGCTCAGGGTTCCCTGAGCAAGGTTCCATTCCTTGAGCCTGCGGTCTACGGTTTTCAATCCTGGTCAGGCAGCATCACTTTGGTTCCGAGGAGAGGAAGTCGGACCGCGTGATCTTATAGGACCCTCCTGGCTCTGAGAGTCTGCAATCACAGGACAGTCTGGGCCTGCCTGAACCATAGCCCTCACCTCTGTGAGCTCTAGGACTTATTGGCCTCCCCCCACAGTTGGACTGGGGTTTGCCCCCACACCTCGGAGGCAAGTGTCAGCAGACTCCCCTTTTCCTGGAGCAGGGGGAGAATGAATGGAAGCTGATGGGCAGGAAGATTAAAGGAAGAAATGGACATTATTGAGCTGAAGTTATTCTATAAAGTCCCCAGATACCTTCCCACTGGCCTCTGCCTTTGCCATGTCCCTCATCGTCCATTTGAGAAATATTTATTTTGCGCTCTTTGTGGCACTGTAGGGGAGGGGGATAAGAGGCACTGGGGATACAGATGTGAATAAGAGAGACACAACACCTGTCCTCTTGGAGATTATATTCTTGCTGAGGGGATGGACAATAAACAAGTAAATACACAAAGAAGGTTATTTTAGACAATTCTATGTGAAAGTAGACTGCTGGGTGGACAGTGATTTGTGGGGAGTGGGCTCCTCAGATAAAGCCAGTGGTCAGGGAAGGCCTCTGAGTTGTGATACTCATGGTGAGCCCTGCACCCAGGGAAGGAGAGCCATGCTGACTGAGGGTAAGGGCTTTCCAGCCATGTGACTGCAAAAGCTCTGAGGTAAGAAAGATCTCTGTCTAGTTGGAGGAACAGCAAAGAGGCCATTGTTATTGGGTTGAAGAAATTGAGGGGCAGATCAATGGCAGAGGAACTTAGAGGGAGGGCAAAGGCCAAGGTAAGAGGTTGGGAGTTCATTTATGCAAAATGGGAACTTTCAGAGAGTTTTAATAAGGGGTGTGCCCTGGTCTGATTCCCACATGGATTGCTTATGGGGAACTGGCTGACGGGGGAGACAAGGTGGGTGACAGCTGGAAAGTCACTGAGGAGGCTACAACCATCCTCCAAACCAGAGATGGGGCCTGAACTGGAGGGAAGCAGTGGGGATGTCAAGAAGGGGCTGGATCTGGAGTCCGTGGTGCCAGAGCACTAACCGCCCACCTTGTGTCTGAGTCCTCTGCCACAAGCCAGGACGAGTGGCCATGCCCAGCAGCAACTGCGGCAGAGACAGGAGGCACAGAGAGGAGTAATCCTGGGCAAGACCCAGCTCAACCCAGCCCAGCGCCCCAGGGAGCAGGTGGGGCCAGGAGGTGCGGCTGGGAAGAGGGTGGCGGGGGAGGGCCTGGAGACTCACTGTCTGGATTCTGGTCTCTCTGAGTCCAGGCAGGAGAGGCAGGGTATGTAGGTAAGGCTGGGGGTGGGGCAGAAACATCCTTCCTAGGCCTCTTGTGTCTCCAGATCCCCATGTCAGGGTGCCCTTTAGCAGGTCAATAGTCATTTCCCACATTCATGTTTCCACAAGGACACTGCCGAGCTGGTAGTTTGGGTCCAGTGTTGTATTCTCCTTGGCTCTCAGATCTGAAATTTTTCTTGAACAGACTTTTCTTTTTCTGAGACAGAGTCTCACTTTGTCACCCTTGGTAGAGTGCTGTGGTGTCACAGCTCACAGCAACCTCATACTCTTGGGCTCAAGAGATTCCCGTGCCTCAACCTCGCTCTGGCTCAGACTGGTCTCTGACTTGTGAGCTCAGTCAATCCACCTGCCTCGGCCTCCCAGAGTGCGAGGATTATAGGCATGAGCCACTGCACCTGGCCTTCTGGAACAGACCTTTCAAGAGAATGATGGTGAAGAGGGATGTGGGCAGGGAAGGAACACTTCACCTACTTGGTCCAGACCTCCTGCTGCTCACACCTGGGGATTCTGCTGTCTGCTTCAGTTTATGGCCAAATGACACCTCTCTTGATGACCCAGAGAAAGACAAAGACTTTTTCCTTCCCCCAGTTGCTGGCCTGCACACACCCTCATATTTCCCAGCCCCTATCCCACATCTCCTTATCTCTGCGTAGGAGTGACAAGGAAAGGAGGCTGTCAAGGTGATGCACTCCTGTAAGCCCACCAGCTGGGAGATTTGCCCCCACTGGTTTGCTTTCAGCTTCCTTCCCTCCAATTGCTTGCATCCCAGCAGCTCCCAGACATGTCCGTAGCAGCATGCTCTTCCAAATGAGAAGAGCTCTCTGCTGGCTTTGTATAGGACAGGGTTTCTCTCCCCATCCCCCAAAAGACAGCCTCACAGGCAGGCGTGTGAGAGTCCCCCAGGAGGAGGGGTGAGGAGCAGCCAGACACACCTGCCTCATTCCTTTCCTCTTGTTCACCCAGGAGAGAGCTGTGGGGGCTGGCTTTTCCACCCCAGGGAGAAGGAGAGGAGGGGTGGAGGAAATGGAGGCCTGTGGAGGGGTGCTCACACATCCAGCAGTTCTGTCCACTGCAGCATTAGCCTTGGCCTCACCCTTCTCTGCCTTTCAGGCTTAAGGAGGATAGAGCTGGGGGAGGGGAGAACAAAGATGACAGAGAATCTGGTTGGGATAATAAGGTACGGTAGGAGCAGCAACTGCAGAGGTGCTGCCACTAGAGGGAGGGGTGGCTGGTAGGGAGGAGCAGGGGGCTGGACACTGAGTTGCAGGGGAGGGGGCATGTTCTAGTGAGTCAAGTTTTTTGATCTGATACATGCTAACCAGACTTGTGAAGGAGGGAAGAAAAAGTTGGGGAAAGAACAAACATGGTGTCTGGGCCAGAAGCTGACTAGAGTCTGGGATCAAAGCTGGACCCCACAATTGAAAAATGGTGCATGGGACTGGGTGAAAGCCCTAAATTAGGGAGATGTGGAGGTAATGAGGAATGGGAAAATGGGGTCCAAGAGCCACTGGGCTGAAGGGTGAGGAAGGGATCAAAGAGCTTATCGGAAATAGGGGATATGGGTTGAAATAAAGTGGGCGGGTGGAGTTTAGATGGGAGGAAGAATTTGCCAATAGCTTGGGAAGAACCAAGGGTGATTTGGAAACAGGAACAGAAGGTAGCCAGAGATCATTCAGAGGAGGAGAGAACTTCCCCCACTACCAACGCCTTTCACCTCATGGACACTAGGGTACTTCTTTGTAGGCTGAGGGCTAGATGGCCTTGATCTAGTTTCTCACCCACAGGGGGAACTTTCACAGTTCCAAATGTACCTTTGAAAACCCCTCCCAACTTTTTTTCTGACCCTGAGGCTTTGGGAAAAGATGCCTGTATTTTGATCCTACCTCAAACAGGCATCTTCTCCCTGACCCTTAACCCCACCACTGTCTTCCTGATCTGATCTGTCCTCCACCTTTATTCTCCCTCCTTCCTCCTACTTCTTCCTCCTGCAAAGAGGTAACTTTCTTTCCCCGAATTAATGCGCCCCCAGTTAGTCCCTGGTAGTGGGGCTTCCACGTTGGAGCATGGCCAGCCCCTAGTCGCGGACCCCTCCTCCCTCGCCCCCCCCTTCTAATGTGGTTGCCGGCAGCTGCCTGCGGTCGCCCCAGCTCCTGCGCTCAAGGCACAGGGACTTTCCAACTGGGGAAAAAATGACTTAATGAGAGTGGGAGCCGGGGGCGGGAGGGACAGGTCCCTGTAATCACCGCTCTGCTGTGGGGCCTGTGCGCCTCCTGGCCCTTCCCTGGCTTCCTGCTGCCAGCACTCCCCTCAGGCTCTGCTGGGGGGCGGGGAAGCAGGCTGGCGACAGGGGGATCCCTTTTTAGGTTCTAGACTCTTTGGGGCCCTCCAGCTGCCTTTCTCCCTAGAGTCGTCATGCATGGAAGCGGGGAGGCTCTATAGTTTCTCTCTGGACCTGTCCTTGAAGTTGTAGGGGCACAACTCAGGTCTCTCGCCGGATACTCTGCGGGTGGGTTAGAGGGATGAGGGACCTTAAGGAGAGCCGGTTGCCACTTCGCGGCTGCGCGCTTCCAAATGCCTTCGGTTGCTATGGCAACCAGCGCAGCCGAGGTGTGTCCTCAGGGCTGGGAGGCGCCCGCCCCCCCCCCGCCTTTCTTGCAGCCAGCGGGGCCAGGCCGGGCCGCTGCGGTGCGCGGGGGTGGGGGTGTGCCGTTACCATGGCAAGGGTGCGCTAGGAGGGCACATTCTTCACCAGGGTGGGAGCGACCTGGGGATACAAGAAGGGAGGTTACGGGGGAGGCAGAATGGGGAGGGGGGAGGAGTCTCGGACCAGACGAACTAGGGAATCTGGGGTTTGGGTGGGGAATTTTGAATCTGTTACCCTCACCTCCCTAGGTCTCCCGAGGCATTCTGCTCCTCCCCCCATCCCCCGCACTCTTGCTGCAACCTTTCCCCAATCCTGTTTCCGGGAAAGGGATCCCCACTACCGACCCAAAGGCCTTTTAGTTTCCTCCGAAGCCGGGCCTGCGGAGCTAAAGGGCAGATCCCTTCCTTCTTCAGTGAAGATGCAGCCCAGAACGTGGGCCAAAGCCCTGCAAAGCCTCTCGCCCGCCCCTGAGTCTTCCGCCAGGTCGGGTCTGCGCTGCCAATTACAGCAGTGCGCAGCGATTTGATAAAGCCCGGTGGAGCCTGGGGAGCTGCTGAGGAGTGGAGGGGCAGCAGACAGGTCAAGAGGGCGGGGTCCCTTGGGTGGTCCCTGGCCCCAGGCTCCTTATTTGGAGCTTCGGGCAGGCCCTGTAACCCAGCTTCTCCACTCCAGACGATTTGGGGAGAAAAGATTTACTGAGTTTCTGCCCTACAGTGCCTCAGTTTCTCACTCCTCAAATGCACACTGCACTCAGGGCAGAAAGAGCGCTGGAAGGATGTGTGTGTGTGTGTGTGTGTGTGTGTGTGTGCATGTGCGCGCGCTGGAGCGTTTGGAGTCAAGGGCTGGGTTCTCAAAAAGTTCAAGGTCCTCAAGGCAAGCTCTCTTTCCCGCCACAGACTGCCAAGTGGGTCTCTCCTGGCTCCAGTCCCCAAGCCCCACTCCCGCCCGAGGGACCCATCTCATTCTTGCTGAGCCAGCCCCAGGGCCTCTACCAGGCTTTACTGAACTTTTGCGGGAATCAGAAAACAGCGCCTCCTCTGGGTAGGAGACTCCTCCCTTCTGCCCAACAAGGGAAGGCAATCTGGGAGTCGGCAGAGCAGCAACGGTGGAGTCTTTCTGCCACCCTTGCCTGCCCATTTTGCTCTCCCCCCACCAGCCTGTGGGTCTACAGGGTCTTGAGTAGAGCTTTACGCCGCAGTCCACATCTGGCCGACATCTGGGAGCCGCCCACCGCGAACTGCTGAGGACACAGCACCCTCTGTTGGTACCAAGCAGCGGCGCACCAGCTTGGGTACCTGGACCGCGCGCAGTTGCCACTGGC